GGCCCGCGGCGTTGGCGTCGCGCAGTTTTCTCTGCAGCTTGACCCTGCTGTCCCCAGCCGCGGCGCCGAAGAAGAAATGCTGCTGCCGCCTGGCTGGCCCCTGCTTTGGCTCGGCCTGGTCCTGGGCTCCTCCTGCGCCAACCTGGAATCCGCAGCGCAGGTCAACTCGACCACAGGTGCCTCCCGCCGCCTTGCGCAGATTAGAGAGCCTTTTCCGCCTCTGTACCTCCCTCCTTCCCTGCCTGCATCCATCCTTGCTCCCTTGCTCCCTAACGCTACTGTTCCTTCTCGCACGAACACAGCTTGTCGTCCCTCTCTTCCTCTTTTACCCCCCCATTTTCATGCCTTCCATCATCCTTCGTTCCTTCATTACTTGTTCTTACCTCATCCACCGCCCTTCCAGTCATCCTTCCCTGAATCCTTCCCACGCCCTCATCTGTTCTCCCTCGGTCCTTCTCTCCTTCTTTCCCTCTGATAGTCCATTTTTTTCTTCCCTTTCTCCTTCCCGCTTTCCTTCAATCCATTAGTCAACCCTTTCCTCTTTCCCTTTACCCACCCTTCATTCATTAACCATCTTCTCTTCACCTATCCTTCTCTCTTCCTAAATTCCTTTTCCCTTTTCTCTATCCTTCCATCCCTCTCTCCCGCCCCCAGGCTTGAAATCTTGGCCAAACCCTAAGTCTGCCACCCACACATCAGGCTTCCTCTGTATCCTGGCCCCCAGCGTGGTGACGCACATTCCTGGTGGCTTTCCACTCTGGCTGGGCTGTCAAGGTGCAGGGGTCAGCCTTGGCTCTCTCATCCCGGAAGGAGGAGGAATTTGAGTGGCAGCATATGTTACCGTACCAAAGCCCCGCTTTCCTTTGCAGATGCTCCGAATGTCCTGCTCATCATTGTGGATGACCTGCGCCCTTCCCTGGGCTGTTACGGGGATAAGGCAGTGAAGTCCCCAAACATCGATCAGCTGGCATCCCACAGCCTCCTCTTCCAGAATGCCTTTGCCCAGGTATGTCAGGGGAGCACTCCCTTTGGCAGTCTGCCTCTTCATGTACTTAGGATGGGTGGGCCTTCATCTGATTTTTAGATGGCACCAACCATGCCAGGCACCTCCTTGAAAGAAGCAGGCAGGGTCTGGAAAACAGTGGTCGAGGACACCTGGTTTTTCACTCAAAAGGAAGCTTGCACCTTGATGGCTTCCCCTCTTCATCGGGTGGAGGGTTCACTTTGCCCTAACACGCTCAGGACTGCCCCTGGTCAGCTTCTTCCCAGAAGGGAACAGTGCCTGGTGCTGTGGAATGCTACCCAAGGGGCTGCCCACTGAGCCCTGGGCAAAGGCCAGCCAGCTGGCCACGGAGGCCCTCCTCCCTAAACCCCTCTCAGCTGCTCCCAAGCACATCGGAGCTCTGGGGGCCTGGCGACACCCTCACGTAGGAGGATGCACGCATCTGCTGGTTGGAGGGGCTCGCTGCTGTCTTCCCTTGCCAGGAAGGCGCAATCTGTGGCACCTGAGCAGAGCCCAGTTCCCACTGGCTGGCTTTGAGATCTGCATGACTCAGCTGCCAGACTGTTGCTGAGGGCCTGGGGAGGTTGCCTGGTTACCTGGGAGACAGCAGCCGCATCTCCCCATCTGTCTGTGATGACAGTGTCCTGTGCTTCTGCTCCCTAACAGCAAGCAGTGTGCGCCCCGAGCCGAGTGTCCTTCCTCACTGGGCGGAGGCCCGACACCACCCGCCTGTATGACTTCAACTCCTACTGGAGGGTACACTCGGGAAACTTCTCCACCCTCCCGCAGTACTTCAAGGAGAATGGCTACGTGACCTTGTCGGTGGGAAAAGTCTTTCACCCCGGTACTGCTCTGTGCCCCAGTCTGCCTTCTCCCATGTGTGAGGGCGGGAAGTCCACTGCTGGGGCTGGGGCTGGGGCTGTCTGCAGAGGCCTCTCCCCCTGGCACCTTGCCTGGCTGCTGTTCGCTGCTGTCTTTCCAGGGAGGAGGACCACTCCACTTTGCCTTCAGGCTCTCCTCTAAAGTGCAGAGGGGAGAAAGGGTTTGGCTTCCTTCCAGAAGCTGGATGTGCTGCCCTGGGGTCCTTCAGCTCCTTGGGCGGTGTGGAGGACAGGGGCTGGGTTAGTGGCAGTGTGGGCTCAGCTCTGGGCCTGGCTCTCTGCCCTGCAGGGTCCCTGTCTGTAATGGCAAGGGTGGGGTGAGGACCTGGAGGACCGCCCCTCCAGGCCATGTGGCTTTGTTGCCTGGTAGGGGTCTGCTGGCTCTCAGCGAATGATGTCGGGCGAGAGGAGTGCAAGAGGGTACTCAGGCCCTGGACAGTGCCAGGGAACTGCCACTTCTGCCCTTGAGCACTGCCTACCTGGTAAACTCGCTCTTTAATTCCAACATGAGAATGTTGAAGCATAAAGACAACCTTTGGTTTTTTATTCATAGAAGCAATGCATGATTCTTCCACAACAAAATGGAAAGTATAAACTAAAAAATACAAATCACTTTTTATTAGACTGCCCTAAGAAGAGCTGCTGATGGGAATAGCACCGGGCACCTGGGTACCTGGTTCTTTTCTCAGCACTGCCAGTTAGCTGTGGGGTTGAATTGGGGCAAATGTTCATCCTCTTAGGGCCTTGGATTCCTTACCTGGAAAGCTAGTCACCTGTCCTGACCCTCCCTGGGTGTCATCCCAGTGTGAGTATTCCACAGAGACAGCAGTGCTTCTCATCAAGGCTGACAACTGGAATGTTTTCAGTAGCTTTCCCTTTACACAGGGGTTATACTGGCAGGCTCAGCAGCCTTCTTCCAGACCCCAGTTGGACAGTCCAGGTTAGGGTAGCTTTCAATCAGGTTAAGTCAAGCCCAGATTTGAAGGTAAATCTATTAGGAAACGTATCATGCAGCCAAAAGCCCAACATCAGGCACACTTCCTGCAGTTTGGTACTCACATCATGACACTCCTTGCCTGAAGGCAGCTGGCAGCAAGTGACCACTATGGAGTGAGGAGGAAACATAGCAGAGGAAGGAGATTGGCTTTAGGAGGGGAAACCAAGCAAGGCCCAAGAGCTGTTGCTTGGCCTCCTTCTTCCCAGTGACTAGACTTTTGGGACCAGCCTCTGAGTGTGGTATCAGAACTAGAGAATAATACTGTCCGCAGTCTTTGGGGGAATATATTTTTCAAGTGAGTCATTTCTCGGGATCTTTTTCTGTTGGGGTGGGGCCCGCAGGAGGAGAGTAGCCACCTATGAGTGTCATTTACTCTGCAGGCCTCTCCTTTAATCCCTCAATTGCAAGTAAGGTGGGTTTTTGTTATGTGATAGCTGGCTGGCACTGGGCAAGGCATAAAACTCTGAACTTCCCTTTCTCCATCTGCCTCATGGTGCGATGCCTCTGCCCCCTCTTTTGTAGAGTGGATGAGAGGCTGTGATGTGGTCTCTAAGGAGCTCCACTGCTACAGCAGTTTGGCTGATCTTGCCCTGTGGGTTCCTTTTGCACTGCCTCACAAATATCCAGGGCCTAGGGACAGGGAGTTAGGTGTTCATTACTCTCATACAGAGATGGAGACAGGGTTGGCATTAATGAGGACGTAACATCTGGCCTAAACTCCTGACTTCATAGGTAAGGGAACTGAGGCCCAAAGAGGGCAGGTGCCGCTCGCCCAGTTATTTACAAAGTTTTAATTTAGGGGGGTGGGGTATTTAAAGACCCTTCCTGTTTTATTTTACAACTTTTCTCCCCCTCAAGGTATATCGTCGAATCATACTGATGATTCTCCATATAGCTGGTCTTTTCCACCTTATCATCCCTCCTCGGAGAAGTATGAGAACACTAAGGTAAGATTGGGAAAGGGCCACAGGCCTGGGGAGAAAGTGCTTTTTCTGTTGTGTGTACTTTACATTCTTTCAAGCTGGTCATGCTGTGAGGTTTGTGGGTTTCACTTCTGTTGATGTCTTGACAGAGACAAGTGTTGGCGTCTTTAGCATAAGGCCCGATGGGAGCAGCAGCTTCCGTGTAGCAGCTGGCGAGGATTTTTTTCTTTGAGAGCCTTAGGCTTTATCTAGTGTGTTAAACGCACATGATTGTGCCTGGGTGGTCACTCAGGATGAGACTCAGAGCTGAGGGTTGTAGGAAGTTCTGAGACATGGGAGATGGAAGAGAGGCTGAGCTTCAGAAACCTCAGCCCAGGATGAGAGAGGTGCCTAATGTATATTGTTTGGCTGCTCAGGCTGCTCATAGGGCTTTAAAAATTTTAGAGCATTATAGAGAATCTACAAAGGAAATTAAATCTGTTTTTGGCAGAACCCCCAATGTATAAATGAAACTGAACCCCAAGTTTAAGAAACTGACAGAAGCATCTGGGGAACTGAAAAATGCATCCTCCTCTGAGCTTTTTTAGAGACGGGTGAGGATTTGGCAGTGGGGTGGAAGGTGTTCTAAATTCTTGATAACTTTTCGTTTCAAAATACAGTGAAAGAGAATGAAGACTGGAAGAACCTCATCACAGTTCCTCACTTCTGTGAGGCCATCTGCTTCTTTTAGTGGTTTCACTTACACATACCAGGCCCTACTTTTTGGGTATTAGGAATAATGTGGCTATCAACATACATGTAGAAGTAATTTTGTAGACTAATGTTTTTTGCTTGTCTTGGGTATGTGTGTATAATAACTATGTTTAACTGTTTGGGGAATTTCCAGACTGTTTTTCAAAGTGGCCGCACCATTTTAAATTTCTACTAGCAGTGTATGAGGGTTCTAATTTCTCTACATCTTTGCCCACAGTTGTTATTTTCCATTTTTTAAAAAAAATTATAGCCGTCTTTTTTACCATCTTGTTGTGCTTTTTTATATTTTCCTAATGAATAATGCTGTTAAGTATGTTTCCATGTACTACTGGCCATTTCAACATCTCTGAGAAATGTGTTTCTTGTTCACTTTTAGTTGGCTTATTTATCTTTTTTATTGTTGAGTTGAAGATAGATTTTTTTCAATAATTGGTTCATTTGGTGGTCTTTAGTTAGTTGTGACCCGGAGGCAGAGGATTCGCAGCAAGAAACTAAGTGCTGTGTGCTTCTGGCTCCTTCCTGGAAAAGGAGAAATGCGTTTCTGGGTTAGTTCTACTTCTCTTTGTCTGCTCACTTTGTATGACTAACACCCAAGGGGCTGCTAAAATGACCATCAAAGCTGTGTGTTTAACCTTCATGACTTCTTGCATTTAAAAAGCTGACATTACATGTTTTGTTTTGAAAGACCTGTAGAGGGCAAGATGGAGAACTGCATGCCAACCTGATTTGCCCTGTGGACATGGCGGATGTGCCTGAGGGCACCTTGCCTGACAAACAGAGCACGGAGGAAGCCATCCGTTTGTTGGAGAAGATGAAAACATCTGCCAGTCCTTTCTTCCTGGCTGTTGGGTATCATAAACCACACATCCCCTTCAGATATCCCAAGGTGAAGAGCTGGATGAGGGCTAATCTCGCATAGCCCTTATAGCTGTTTTATCTGTGGAGCGAGGGATTTGTGTACCGAAGATGAAGTTGGCCATATCCTTCTATTTCCAGCCACCTTTGTTTGGCAGAACCCTCAGTGTATAAATGAAACTAAAACCAAAGTTTATGGGCACTAGTTACTTGGTGAAGGTGGAGTCAGAGGTCAAGGCCAAGAAGTAATCTTATGAGAAAAGCTTGGCTTTTCACCTTTCTCCACTGAAAGGTTATTTCCTTTCCAGTGACATCATCACCGAGAAGTGAGTCAGAGCTACCAGAAGCCTGGAACAAGGGATAATCCTTGGGAAACAATTCCAGGGAATGTGACAGTTGCCTTTCCATTTGAGCCTGTCAGATCAGACCCTATAAACACAGGACATTCTTTACTTGCTCATATATCATTTAGACCATCTAGTCTTTTCCATTTTAGAATCTTTTTTTTTCTTCAGTTTTTTCCATTTATGTTTTCCCCGGGCCTGTGAAGCTCAGCCTTTTGACCTGACAAAGGATGCCTCTCACCTGTCATAGGAGTAGACACCAGAGGGTATGCTATTTGATGTTTGCAGATATCTTGCTTTGGTTGGCCTGGTGGACTTTGCCTTCCTAGCAGGAGCCGTCATCCTCCTTGATAGACAGAGCTTGTCAGACTCACCTCTTCTGTCCCTTTGCAGAAAAGTGTTCACAAAGGCAGCCTGCTTGCAAGACTGCCCCTTGGCTGGCATCTCTGGGAACTTTGATTTTGAGAGTGTTCCACCATTGTCAGAATTTGTAAGAGTGGCTTACCATGCCTGAACTGTAGGCAAACCTTATGTTATAAACTGAACCCCTTTTTTTGCTTCTGGAGGACTGGAATTTAGTCTAGTCCAGGCAGAGCGCGCCTGTGTGACTAGCACCAAATCAAACCTGAGTGCTGAGGCTTTAAAACACTTCCCTGTTTGGCAGCACCGTTACTCACTGCTGAAACACTGAAGTGTGTCCTGTGTGGCTTTCCTGGGACAGGACTCTGGAAACTTGCCACTGGTTTCCTCTGGACTTTTCTCATGGGCCTTTTCCCTTTGCCAGATTGTATCCTTTCACTGTAATAAACCATCTCTCTGAGTGACTGTATGCTTGGTCCTGTTAGTTCTCCTGGTGAATTACTAAACCTGAGTGTGGTTTGGGAGCCCACCACATCTGTGTGAGTTGGGTGTGAGCTGGGGATAGGAACAGGAGGGCATCTGACTGTTTGAGAGGAGATTCCATTGCTGTTGGTACCTCGTGAGGGTGACCTGAGGCCTGAATTGAGGTGGTGGCTGGGTACTGGTGGAGCCTTAGCGAGCCACCATGGGAATGCACTACAGGATTCAAGAAAAGGCAGTGTAGGGCTGGGGATTTAGCATAGTGGTTCTGCAAGCACAAGGACCTGAGTTCGATCCCTGGTACCAAAAAAAAAAAAAAAGGCAGTATAAACACTCAGAACCATAGCCTGTGCCTTTGCCACAAAAGTGACAGCCTTGTGGCTCTTTGTGTTTTTCGTCCAGGAATTTCAGAAGTTGTATCCCTTGGAGAACATCACTCTGGCTCCTGATCCTGAGGTCCCTGATGGCCTGCCAGCTGTGGCCTACAATCCCTGGATGGACATAAGGCAACGGGAGGATGTCCAAGCATTAAACATTAGTATACCCTATGGCCCGATTCCTGTGGACTTTCAGGTACTAATGGTACTGATTGTGGATATCATCAGTGAAGGCACTTGTCCATCCATAATGGCTTACTGAGAAGTTAATTTGCGCAAGGCATTGTGTGAAACTCTGGATGGGGTATTCTTTAGGTGTTAGGACACAGGCATTGCTGGGTGGATTAAGAGTCTCCTGACCAGCATCTCAGCTTCCAGAAAAGGGAGCATCCAGAGATTTGGTGACTTGCTGCAGGTAGGCACAGTGGTGGAGAAGCAGCCTAGGGGAGCATTCCTAACCCATGGGCCATGCTGTTTAATCCAGGTCACAGCTCATCATTTACAGGGTGTAGGCAACTCCCTAGCAGTCTGGAATGCTCAGTTTGCTGGCACTTGCTGATTTCCTCTGTAGGAAGGTGTGACACGAGTGACACCTGTCACTCGTGGAGGTGGCTAGATGAGCTGTACCTTGCCATAGAGGGAGCTGGGATGCCATTACAGCCAGTGCTGTCAGCTAGCATATCTGGTGTCCCTTTGCCATGATATGGTCACCAGAGTTCCATGTGAGTGGAAAAGACGTGCTCACCAGCATTCTGTCTGCAATCTTTCACATAGATTCCTGCCTTTTTCTTACCACATCAATGCTGGCAGGCAAGTTACTGTGGAGGGAATAGGGCAGGGATGTCTGAGTATGTTTCTCGGACAGGTCAGCATTGCTGGGCAGATGTGTTAGAAATACAAAGTTCTAGCCCTCGTAGGCTTACCGGGTTAGAAGCTGGAGCCCAAGAACGTACATTCCCCCCAAAAGCACACCAGATGATTCTTATACACTCAGGACTTTGAGAACCACTGCCAGAGGACAGAGGTTAAAACCAAAGTGAGCCCTACAGGATCTTTTGTTTCCAAACATGTTTTGCCCCTGAGGTTGCACAGACAGATTGGGGGATCAGCGGTGTGCATTCCTCAAATCTATCCGTTGCCTGAGTGTCAAATGGCAAGTGACAAGAATTTGGAGAGCAATGGATATGTCTCTTTGCTTCCTAATTTTGCATAGCTGGGTTTTGATTACCAGGTGGTTCAAATCGTAGCTGTGAGACTGTGCCTTGAAGCCTTCTTAGAGACAGTCACTTACAGTGACCCTCCACAGTGGACTGGGTGCCAGGAATGGTGCTGAACATTCATGTGTGCCATCTCCTTTGATCTCCATGGCAACCCAATGAGGCTTCTGCCTTTCTGTTGTTGGGTGAGGAAATGAAAGGCAGAGAATCATGCTGCTGGCTTCACTGTCCACAGTACCAGGGGGGCTGGTTTACTCGCAGTGACATGTGACACCTAAGCCCCATGGTTGGTTTTGTCCTTTCTCAACATTCTGGGTTTGAATTCACATTGTACCCCATACTAGCTCTGTCAAGTCATGAAACCTCTCTGAGCCTAAGTTCCTTTATCTGTAAAATGGAAATAGCATGGGTAAAGGTTTCCTCTGGCTTTGGAGGTTCTCAGTGGGGACTAAAGGGAGCATATGGAAGCAGCTGGGACAGTGCCAACTGCATGGTGAGCTCTCCTTCAAGTTCCCCAAGTCCCCTCATCTCACCCCGTCCACTGCACACTTAGCAGAGAGCATGCACGACCCAGGGGCCTCCCTGCAATACTCACGTGCAGCACCCTGCTCTGAATTCTCTCTGGGCCTGGGCCCTGTTCTCTGTCCTGCAGGTTTGAGTGTCTGTGTCCAAGCCCCGTCTCTTCTCTTGGGCCAGTCGGTTCCATGTCCTCTTCAGCCCAGCCCTCTCACTCAGCACCCACCATGAGCTAGTGACCTCAGGGGCCACCCTCAGGAGTTTGACACCTCTAGGGCCTGCTTTTCCTTGGTCTCCACCCTGGTCATGGTCCCTTCTCCTTGTATATCCTTGTTGCCTGTATACGTCTTGGGGATTGCTAGAGCATGGACTCCTGCTCCCCTCCTCCATCTAGGTGGTCTGTCTAGGTGCTCCTCCCTGTAGCAGGCCGCTTCCTCTTCTTACCAGCCCCTCAGCACATGTGCCCATTTGCGCTTGCCCCACCTGCAGCGTCATGGTCACCAACCATCTAGCTTGGAGGGCAGCTGGAGAGAATCCACACAGCCACGAGGCACAGAGGCCCTTAACTGCCCGTGGGAGCTCTCTGCTTGGCTCCTCTCACTTTTCCATGTCCAACAAGGTCTACCTTCCTTACCTCCCACTTTTCCTGGAACCTGAATATCTTCTGTGGTTTCTCCTGTCTTCAGAAATACCAGCTCCTTGCCCTTACCCACGTTTCCTCCCTTCCTGTTCCCTCACTTCTTCCTCCCTGGTCTGCCTCTCCAAGGGAGAGTATATTAGTCAACTTGCTGTTGCTGGGACACAGTACCTGACACCCACAACTTAAAGGAGGACAGGTTCATTTTCACTGATAGTTTCAGAGGTTTTGGTCCATAGTTTGGTTCCTCGGTGCAGACCTCATGGTGGGAGGGCATGACAGAGGAGAGCTGCTCAGCTCACGGTGGCTGGGAGCAAAGAGCTGGGGCAGAGCCCAAGAGAGAGGAAGGGGTCAGAGACCAGATCTAGTCCCCAAGGTCATGCCTCCATGAGCCATCCAGACACACTCGGAAATGTGCCTTTTTAATTTTCTAGGTGCCTGGAGCCAATTAAGTTGAGAGTCAAGTTTAACTGTTACCGAGAGTCGAGTGGTCCATTCTGGCTGTGTCTGTGATGGGCTGGACCACTTGTTCTTCATTCTCCTCTGTGCAGGCCTGTTTCCCCAACCCACTAAGACTTCTCCTACCTCAGTGGGCACCAACCTTGTTAGCAGTATAAATCCCTTCCTTGCAGGCATCAAGCTTCCCTGGGTGCTCTGCTGCTTTCTCACTGTTCACCAGCCCTTTCCCTACCCTAATCACCTGCCGCCTGGGGCTGCTTTGCCCACCCATCCATTCAGCGACCCCCTGTTCCAGTCTCCATGGCAGACTCCTCTTTGTGTTCCCAAATTCCTCGATTTAGGTACTGCCTCCAGGAAGCAGTCCCAGGCCCCTCACTGTTGCTTTCTGCCTCTTCTGCACTGCTGAGCCCAGTGCTGGCTTCTGATGTTCGGACATACTCTCTGTGCCCTTGAGAGTCATTCCCAGCCAGATGAGCATGGCACCCTTAGCTCCGTAGGCTCCATATGGCTGAGCCACCACCCTGCCCTGCCTTTTCTCCTACATCCTCTTCCTCTTATGCCCCTCTCCTCACCACATGCTGGTGAGTCGTGCCACCATTTGAATATGTCATCTAGAGTCACCTTGGATTTCTCACCCCTTCCTCTGCCCTGTTTCTTCCCTTCCCCAAGCCTGCTTCATGTCCCCAGATTCCTCTCAATTCTGCCCTGGCCTCTGGATCCTTTAGCACACTTTCCGGTCTACTGAAGCAGGTGTGGCTTTGTTAGGTGATCAGCAAGTGTTCTGAGCACTTCTTAGGGGCCCGGCAGGGATGTGGTGCCATTTTGTCTAAAGCCCCTGGAATCCACAGGTTACACACTAACCTGCAACCCAGATTGCACCCCTTGCTTGTGTTGAGAGACCTCAGCGACTTCTGTGGCTGCAGCCTGGGACTGCCGTTCCCTGGAGGAGCCCACCAGGTCTCTATCAACTGGCCCTGACCTACCTTTTCGGTATCCCTTGCTACCTCCTGCCCTCCCATGTTATTCTCCAGCCCCAAACACTCCTTGCCGTGTCCTGACTCCACACCTTTCTACATACACTCCAGCCCCTGCTTAGTGTACTGTATCCCCATTTATATCGTGGCAAGCACCTGTTCTCCAGTGTGAACTCCTCTGTGAAGCCTTCCCTGATCTCCCCAGGAGGACTTGAGAGCTCATTCTCTGTGTCATCTCTGGCTCTACCAGTAACATACATGGTTTCGTGTTTCTTTGATTGTTTTCTCACTGGGAAGGTGGCTTATTAGGGTGAGGACTGTGCCTACTTATTTATTGCCTTAGCTTCAGGGATCAGCACAGAGGAAGGGGGGTATGCTTATATAGCATACTGTCATACTGGTAGTTATCTCTGGTTCCCAGAAGGACTGAAGTTCTCCAAGTTACAGACCAAAGACTTGATTGGCCAGCAAGTGTCAAGTAGGCTGGGCTAGCATAACTCTTCTAGAAGGTTAGATGTATATTTTTTCTTTTCACTGCAAGCAGAGAACAGGCCCATCTCATGATTGTTCTTACCCTAGTAGTGATAACAGGAAGCTGGCAGATCCAGTTGATAAGGCCAGCAGAAACTGGGGCTGAGGTGGTAAGTTAGCAGCTCCATTACGTTACTTTCCACCCATTGATGGGTACGGAGGATTCATCTTTTTCCTTAACATTTGTGAGCGAGTCAGCTCAGGAGGTACGGATGGCTCTTTTACTTTGGCGTATGGCCCAGCTGTCTCCAGAGTCCCTCTTGGGTTCAGGGACCATGGCCGCTCTGTTTGCTCATTGTTTTTCTCCTACCCACTGACGCTTTCTTAGAAATGAGCTACACATGGCAGCCATGGTCCATGAAGATAAGCACTTACCATCTCTTGCTGGGTTAGAAAGTAGTCAGAAAAAAGGACCACCCAAGGCCATTGTTAACTTGTGTCCCCCCAAAAGATATATTGATCTCCACCCCCCATACCATGAAAGTGACCTGATTTGGAAATAGGTTTATCACAGTCAGTTAAGATGAGGTCCTAAAGGTGGGGTTAGCTGCTGATGCAATAGGAATGGTTGGAGAAGAGGAAGGAGGTGGAGGAGGGGGAGAGGAGGAGGAGGGAGAGACAGCTCCATGTGAAGATGGAGGGAGGAGAGAGTAGGGAGAGAGAGACACGCAGAGCTCCATGTGAAGATGGAGGTAGAGTGGCACAGCTGTAACCAGAAGGGAGGAAGAGCTCCCCTACAGCCTTCCGGCCGAGGTGGCCCATCCAACACCCTGCACAGCAGGAACACAGTCTATTTCTGGTGTCTTAAATCGCCCAGTTCATAGTACTTCATTCTAGCAGCCATAGGAAGTGAATGAGGCTGAATCATATCTTTGGTGCACCTCTCATTTGAGCCTTGGGGCCTGTGCTTGGTGGGACTGAAGCATCACTTTCCCTGTACCTGCTCATCTTCTGTGACCTAGCAGAGTTTATGAAGGAGACAGAAAGGAACTGCGAGTGACAGCCATCCACCATGATTCGCCCCTAAGCTGATTTGCTGAAAAAGGAATCTACTTTGGACTTGCCAGTTGCCCTGTGTCTTTGCAAGCCAGGGGATGAAGGGATGTGGATGGGAGAAGAAGGAGTATTATGTTTTCACTGAGAAAGTCACTAAAGCATCAATGGAGGGGTTGGGACTGGGTGAGATGCCCGGGCAGGCATTATCCATGCAATTAAAATTACACTCTCATTATTGATGTTTCATTTGCAGCGGAAAATCCGTCAGAGCTACTTTGCCTCTGTGTCCTATTTGGATACACAGGTCGGCCGCCTTTTGAGTGCTTTAGATGATCTTCAGCTGGCCAACAGCACGATCATTGCATTTACGTCAGATCATGGTAAGCATTTTGAAATGCCCTGGTGAGTCACTAAGAGCACATCAACCTCCTGTGAAAGGTGTCTTTCAAAAATTGCTATATACATAGTGTGTTGTCTTTGTGAATCACCAGTATCCAGGGTCTTGGGTGCTTTTATGATCAAAACATTGGTCCTGGGACCTCTATTTTGGATACTTGGTGTGGAGGGGCGCATATAGCAAGCTCTTTTCTTTTCTTTTGTTTGTGGTGCAAGAGATTGAACCCAGAGCCTTCACTGAGGTACATCCCCAGTCCTTTTTATTATTTATTTTGAGACGGAGTGTCACCAAGTCACTAAGTTGCCTAGTCTGGGTTCAAATTTGTGATTCTCCTGCCTCAGCCTCCCAGAGTGCTAGGATTATAGGTACAACTACGTTTTTTCTTAGTAAATTCAGCAGGAACTCTCTAATGGAGGAGTTCTTTTATGTCCCCCCCCCCCGTAACCTAGAGGGTTGAAGGGCTTTTTTGTTTTTCTTGGGAGGATCTATAAAAACTTTCCTGGCAGAGCCTAGCAACACCCGCACACCTGGCTGCATCCCTCCTATTCCTGTCCCTGCTGTCTTCTCTGCCAAGAAACCAGGCTTCTCAGCTCCTCTAAGGCTGTGTCCTACTTTTCCCAAATATGGACCTATAATTTAAAAAACTTTCTCTTTTATTGGAAAATTTCCAACCTGCGGAGGAGTGAAGAATACCAGCTCCTCCAGCTCTGTACTAGTGTCAGTCTTGTACACCTTGCCCTTACTTGCTCCCTGAACTCCTCAGTTGTCCTGCAACAAATTGGAGAGGGTTCTGTTTTCTGGTCAATATCTCTGCAAGATGCTGTCTCTTCAGGCATAACCACAGAACCATTTGCATACCTAGGAAAAGCAAAATAATTCTTTTATATCATCAAATATGAAATGGGACAATAGTAAATCATAACGTGCTCATTGTGGAAAGAAGAAAGGATACAGAGCCTGTAACCCAGGGCCCTATTATGGTGTTTGTCCAGGGCAAACTACTACTGACACACTGTGGCTTTTTCTGGTTATGGCACATGTACCCGGGGTTATGTGCTATACACGTGCATGTGTGTAACATGTAGCACATCATAAGACAGGGTTTGTTGTGCTGTGTGTACTACTCATGTCCTTGGTATTTTTTTCACTTAATAATGTCGTAGACAGTTCTTTATGTCACTTCTTACAGGCCCAAACTTTCTCCTGCAAAGTTCTCTAATAAAAACTAGTTCCCTTTGAAGTTCATTACATATGGAGGTGCCAGTCTACAGCTGGCCCACCATAAATGTGCCCAATCTCCTGTTATCAGGAGGAGGTGCCTTAAGTTTCACAGATTCCTAATGATTTGCCATGCACTTCTGGCCTTTCTTAGTGCCCGCCTCCTCTTTTTGCTGAGGCAGCTACAGCTGAGTACCGTGACCCATCTCATAGTGCTCTCCTGGGACATCCTCCATCAGAACCACCAGAGAGCTGGTAAAACTTACTGATGCAAAACAGTCTGTTTGGGGCCACAGGTCTGCGCACAGGGCTCTGTGACTTTAACAAGCATCTCACATGGCTCTGAGAACTCTCCCCTCCGTCATAATTCCTGGGCCATCCTGTGCCAGCTTGACCTCCTCCCAGGCCAGGAGCCAGAGACCTTCTGAGCTGCCTGTTGAGGTCCTTGGCCACTCACTCCCCTGGGTTGAGGGGCGAACCTTGGGGCCCTCCCGGGCATGTGCTCTCCTCTCTCCTGCATTTGCCTCCGGCTGTAGCAGCCCAGAGTGAAGTCCAGCACAAGATGAGCACGTTCCTGCACGCAGGATGTCCCCAGCTGTGTCCTGAGTGTTTGCTGTGTGCCAAGCCCAGGCCCGTGGGATCAGAGGGCCCCTATCTGGGGATGCCACAGAGTGCTTGGCTGACGTTCCTTCGGAGCCTGTGGATGTACCCGAGCCGGACTTCCGAGCTTTGACTCCTGAGGTCCCACTGCCAGGGTCGCTGACTCCCTTGTCCCGCAGACTCCTCTATCCTCACCCTCTTAGGTCCCTGCCAGACGGGGACAGCACCTCAAAGCTGGCACCCTGGAAGCCCGCCCAAGAGCCCCCTGTCCCCAGTCCTCATGGGTCAGCTCTGCCCTGCCCTGGAGAGGGGAGACGTGGAGGCGCAGGGCTGCCTCACCCAGCCCTCAAAGCTGATGCACTTTGGAAACTGCCTCTGGCTGAGTTCCCTTGGGCTCCCCCACACCGCCGCCTGACTCCCTGGCACCTTGCGCCAGAGGGAGGGAGAGAAGGAGGGAAGGTGGGCTCTCTGTAAACCTGCAGCACCTCGGACGCGTGCTGTGTCTGCTGTCATTACTGATTGGTCGCAGTCTCCTTTTCACTTGGGTCACCTGAGGAGAGCTCGGTCAACTCAGCGCAGGCTCCTGCCCTGTTCTGGACACCGAAATCCCTGAAAGGCCTGGGCTCCTCTAGCAGCCTGTTTTCATGTGCACAATGAGCCAGGGAGGTCTCGGGCTGGACTCACCTGGACTCACCTGTCCTGTCATTGCAGCTGCAATGAAGACAGCGCGGACCTAGGTTGGCGCCTGCTCAGCTCCGTCCATGACAGCTTTTGGCTTCCTCGGTTGTTTTTCTAACACTAAATACTCCATGTACAATCCCTGACATGTGCGGATTTTGTAGCAAAAAGGATCCTCAAACTTTGAAAGACTGAGAATTCCCCACTTTGATTATTTAGTCTTTTATAAGGGATGTTTTAAATCAGCAATAAGGGTTGTTTTGGATTGGAGTTAAATAGTTGGGTTAACAGTTTTGTTTTTCTTTACATATGATATGTCTTAAGAAATGAGCAGGGCAACCTTGTCTTGTGCCACAGTCACATGGCTCATGTTTTGGTCATACAATGAAAATTGAATCTCAAGTGAAACTCTGTCTTGTAGGACATGAGTCCTGAGCTATCTCAGGACTGTCCCTGTACAGGACAGGGCAACTCCAGTTTTTGAGGTGCCTACCCAGTCCACCTTTTGGGGTATAGCTGAGAGGTAGAACAAATGCTTAGCATGTAGGTGGTCTTTAGTTCCATCTCTATACCAAAACACATTTAAAGTAAATAAAAAAGAATAAACCTGTCTTAGCAGGGGAGACATGTCTGTTTGAGGCCTACTAGTCTGACAAAGTCCACTGTGGGTATATGTTAGTAGTTATTTGAGAAAGAAAGGAGATATTTAAATTTGAGAATTTATGTATATATTTTTTCTGGTACCAGGAATTAGACCCAGCATCTTGTGCTTGCCAGGCAGGTGCAGTGCCACTGAGCTACATCGCTGGCTAAATTTGGGAATTTAATATTTTAATATTTTTTCCTTTTCAAGGGTTTCCTTCTTGAGGACAGATGTCTGATGCTTAATAAATCACCCTTTTTGTGGTAATTTTAGAAGAATTTTTTCAAAGTGCTCAGTTTTTCCTTCCTTTAGTTTTTACAATAGGAAGTCAAATGGTTTCTAAAATAAACAAGCTGTGATATGATTATTCACTTTGATTCATTCTGTACTTTTCATGACCCAGGGTGGGCCCTAGGTGAACATGGAGAATGGGCCAAATACAGCAATTTTGATGTCACTACCCGTGTGCCCCTGATGTTCTATGTTCCTGGAAGGACGACTTCATTCCCGGAAGCAGGCGAAATGCTTTTCCCTTACCTCGACCCTTTCGATTCTGCTTCACAATTGATGGAACCAGGTATAAAATACACTGACGTGACATGAGTGCTTTTAGTTTACATGTGAGCCACTTCACCAAATCATGGGCTGTGGCCTTATATCATCCTGCTCCTACCATTTTGCTTTCCTTCTTGGCATTGTGAAGTCAGTCCATGTTTCCTGGGCACTTTCTATGTCCTGGCTTGGGAAGGAGCAGCACAGCCGAAGTTGACAAATCTGGCTGCCTCCATGAGGAGCCTGGAGGGTGGAGGACAGAAGAGCTGATGGCATCCCCAGCGTGGGGAATACTGTTGTAGAGGTGACAACAGCAAACTTCAGAGCTTAGTGATAGGTGCTAGAGATTGCCATGTACGACAGGAGCTGTCGCCTCAACTGGTGAGCAGAATCCTTAAGCTGCATACTTTGGCAAGAATTCCACTTTATTTGCGGGACTATTTTCCATTTTGTTAGCTCGTTGACCTAGTGGACCACTGGGTTGGTAGAAGGTAACATGTGATGTGATTCTACTCTGTGATCCCAACAGTAAAGGCAAGTTTATTTCAGAGCTTTAAAAGAGCTCCTTCAGAGCTTTAAAAGGCACAGTTGGTCTGCTTGTGTGGGGTGCCCTGTGTGAATTCTTGTGAGTTGCATCCTGACTGATCTTCCCAGTGCATTTCAGAGACAAAGCATGTATTTCAGATGGCATCTGCTCATTTTAGGGTGCTTTCTCCATAAACTAAACCAGATTGTCACCCCCCCCCAGACTTAGGCATTTAATCCATCTTAACACCTAAGTCTTGCACTTCATGTTGATTCCTGTTTAAATTGATCTTGGTTTCAGAACATCATTTTGGCCTTTCTGGATCTTTGAGTTTGTTTTCCATTGTCTACTTTTACTTTCTGCACATTTAATTTGGGGGCTATGCATATTCTGTCTTCTTTCACATCACTGATAGAAAAGTTCAACACTTGCAAGACATGATTTTAACACTTGTTTTTGTTGGGAGAAGACTTCTGGCAACTTTTGCTCTGGGTATTGTTCAGTAAGTTATACATAACCACACTGTTTATCCGGCTTATTTCCAGATTTTCTGTTTAGCATGAGTCTTCTCTGAACTTCAACTTGCATTCCAGCAACCCATCCCACCTGGCACAGTAGCATGCCTGAGCTGAGCTTGTGCTCTTTTACCTTCAGCATTTACTTCAACACTCTTTTTAGGAAGTGATAATGGTCACGGAAGCCAAGACGGTGGGGATCTTCTCAACCCATCTCTCTTTTGTACTCTGCACCTGATACGTAGTACATTAGTAGCAGTCACTCTCCATTCAGAATCTCTCCCTACCCCCACTCACCACCTCTACTGCCACCGGCATCTCTTTTGAACCACTGAAGCATCTTGCTGAGTCTCTTTGCTTGTTCTCTTGATCCTTGTGTTCCCTCCTTTGAACAGTTCAAGTGATCCCTTTTAAGCCCAAAGCTGAGGCAAAGGGTGTGGCTTAGCAGTACTGCTCTTGCCTAACACACAGTGAGCCACTGGATTCCACCTTCAGAACTATGAACAAACACAAAACCAAAAAAAAAAGGGGGGGGGAACCCCAAGGCAGACCGTGTTATAGCCCTGCTCAGAGGCCTCCCATGCTTCCATCCCACTTGTAGATGTTGTCACAGTAGCCGACAGGGCCTTGCATGATTTGATTCCCCCTTCATCTGTCGGACCTCTTTTGCCAAATACCCAGGCCAGCTGTCCTGTGCAGTGTCCTATTCTCTGGGTAGCTAGATCCAGTGTAAACATTTTTGAGCAGTGTGCTACAAGTGATACTGTGTCTTCTCATATCACACTAGAGTAATTCATGGTAGCCTGTGCCATTATTAGTGATGTAAGCTTGATCATTTGTTTCAAGGCAATAATATCTGCTATTGTATCTTTTAAAAGCCTTTACTTTTTTATTTTAGTTACAGAGCAAGTGTCTAGAAAATGAAATTGGGCATTATAAAGCAAAGCATTAGCTATCCAGAAAGGCTAAAATGATAGCAGAAAGCCTAGATCCGTTCTGACAGGAATTAATGTAAGTGCAGGATTTAGATTTTAAAGATGGATGGACCACTTCGTGGCAAGCAGGATGGACATTAATAATAATAATTAAAAACCAGAAGATAGCAAGTACTGATAAGTATGTGGAAAAATTGGAATACTTATATATTAGTAGCAGGAATGTAGGTGCTGTGGATAATAGTTTGGTGGTTCCTCAAAAAGTTAAATGTAGCTGGGCACGGCACATCTGTAATGCCAGCTAATGAACAGACTAAGGCAGGAGAATTTCAAATTCGAGGCTAGCCTGGGCAATTTGGTGAGACCCTGTCTCAAAATTCAAAGGGCAGGGGGCAAAGGACATAGCTCTGTGGTAGAACACTTGCCTAGCGTGCACAAGGCAGTGGTTTCAATCTCAGTACCACAAAAAGGAGTTAAACATAGAATTAACATGTGAGCACTTCCAAAGAACTGAAATCAGATATTCAAACAAAAATTGAGCGTGTATGTTCATAGCAGCACTATTTCCAGTAGCTGAAAGGAGGAAGCAACTGTGTCCATGGACGGATGGATGGATATGTACAATGTGGTATACACATACAGTGGAGTATTTTTCAGCCTTAAGAAAGGAAGGAAATGCCAGCATATGCCACAGCATGCATAAATCTTTAGAATCTTATGCTAGGGCTAGGCGTGGTGGCGCACGCCTGTAATCCTAGCACTTGGGAGGTAGAGGCAGGAGGATTGCTGCGAGTTTGAGGCCAGACTGAACTACGCAATGAGTACGTGGTCAGCCTGAACTACAAAGTGAGACCCTGTCTCAAAAAAAAAATTGTTATGCTAGGTGAAATAAGCCAGACAGAAAGGGAAATTTGCTGTATGATCTCATTTGGAGTATTCAGAAAGAATGGTCACATTTATGGAGTTAGAAAGTGGAACGAAGTTGTCAGTTGTTGGGGGTGGAGAAATAGGGAGATGTTTTTAAATTTTATTTATTTATTTGTTTGTTTTAATGGAGACAGAGCTTCCGGTGTATAAAATGAAGAGTTCTGGAGATGAAGGATGGTGATGTTGCCATAACAATATGAATGTACTGAATGCCACTTAACTATTCAATAAAAATGACTAAAATGGTAAATTTCATGTTTGTACATTTTGCTATATGAAAAAGAAAAGATAGATCAAATGCACACATACAGAAGGGAATACAGTAGTACCTTGGTTCACACACTTAATTCTTCCCAAGATTCTGGTTGCAGAATTGATGCCATGATTCTTGTTGCTCTGCCACCAGAATTGAGGAAAGGATTAAGATTGTGAACCGAGGCACCACTGTAATATATGGGATGACATACTGAGTTGCAGAGTCTTCTGTTCCTCCTCAGAGCTTTACCCTCTAGTGTTAGTAGCTTGCCTGGTCAGGCACTGCGTTCCACTGGTGGTTCTAGAATTTGAGTAGCTTTGGAAAGTGCCAACAGGCTGCATGCACCTTAATTTTACATTCTGCTATTGGATTGGATGAATAGTTAGTAGAGAGTGTGGTGCTGAAGTAGTGGTATTTAGTGGTATTTCTAAATTTTTGCTAAAAATAAATGTCAAGAAAAAAGATGAAGCCCAGCCTTCATGCATCCCACCTGGTGTGGCAGAAGTCTGCAGTGTAACAGATTCAGCCTTGTCACTTCCTATTTCAGGCAGGCAAGCCACAGACCTTGTGGAACTCGTCTCTCTCTTCCCCACGCTCACTGGCCTCGCAGGACTGCATGTCCCGCCTCAATGCCCTGTTCCTTCATTTGACGTGGAGTTGTGCAGGGAAGGTGAGGACCTTCTGAAGCATTTTCGGTCCCGTGACTTGGAAGAAGATCCGGTTCTCCATGACAACCCCCGTGAGTTAGTTGCCTACAGCCAGTACCCCCGGCCTGCAGACTCCCCTCAGTGGAATTCTGACAAGCCGAGTTTGAAAGATATAAAGATCATGGGCTACTCCATACGCACCATAGATTATAGGTATACTGTGTGGGTGGGCTTTGATCCTGATGAATTTCTGGCCAACTTTTCTGACATCCATGCAGGGGAACTATATTTTGTGGATTCTGACCCATTGCAAGACCACAATATATATAATTACTCCCAACATGGGGAAATCCCTCCATCATTGATGCCTTGAATTGTGCCAGCTAGAGGGAAAATTGAGCTGGCAAGAGGAGGCATAAAACATGGTTATTTTGTCATTACCCATAATACTGAAAACAGCTGGGGGGGTAATCAAAACATACATCAATAGTTCGGCCCAAGAATTTGTGATAGCCAAACTTTTCATTTAGTCCTTACTGATTTATAATTGGCCATTGGATTGGCTCTGGGCTGAAACTTTCTTTTCCTTTCTTTTTTTCACTCTTTTTTCTTTTTCTTTTCTCTTTTAAATAATTGTAGATAACTCAATAAGGGTAAAATGAACAAACTGAAGTTATGTCATATCTTTGTATATTAAGAGCATAGTAGCCAAACATACCACTATACTCAAGAAATATTTTATTTGTGGAATTTAGTTCATTTCAAAAAGTAACCATGTATCTAATTAGGTTCTACCCTAAGGTCCCAGTTATTTTGTTTATAATTTAAGAATATAAGGTAGTACAAAATATTCGAATTTTTTATCAACATGTACTTCACATTTCCTTCTCAGATATAAAGTTAAATAATTTTAGAAACCAATAATTATAGCAACCAATAATTACAGAAACCAATACCTTAAATTTTCATTTCTAAGATCACAGCATTTCAAAATCTAAAAATAAAATACCTATGAAATTATTAATATGTTTTTCTATATCAAATAAGAAATAATGCCTAGTAAACAAAAGGGATGAGATGTGTGGAAAATTTGGTTAAAATTTTTCAGGTAGTTTCTGGTCCAAACGACCCTTGAACTCATTGGCCATTAAAAGTCTGTCATTCATTCACAGTGAGAAACATTTCAGTGTAACTATATCCATGATTTGTGAATCACTCAAAACCATATTAATGTTCTATAGTGATGGTTGATTGCAGATATCCATTTATCCAGAAGGCAGAAAATATTTTAGTTTTAAATGCTTATTAAAGAAAACATTAATTTTATTAAATTCTAAATTGGTATTGTGAGAACATTTCATTAGTATAATATTAAGTAATTTTCAATTCTCCTGAATGTAGTTCTTTACTCCTTAAACATAAAAGTAGTGAGAATTCATAGACCAGTGATGGTGAACCTATGGTATGCGTGACATAGCAGGCTGTTTGTATCATTGAACACTCTAAAATGTTCGCCATCACTGGCCTAGTCGCTATCATCTTAAAAGGAATGGAATATAACAAGTCATATTCTAGCATAAGTAAGCTGATGAATTATCTGAAGTCATCGGAAAAATCAACATCTTTCTAAATTAACATCTAGGATAGTTTGTCATCAAAATGAGCACTTTTATTTATTTTCTCCTTACAAATGCCTCAGTGTTTCAAGGTAAATATTTGTCAAATAAAATATAGCAAATTGCAAATGAGATTAAGCTGTTGTAATATATTAAATTGTAATAAAAATGACAAGACATATTAAACTCAGTTAAGTTTCAAAGGCAGATTTTTTTCCCTCTGATAGAGCTATATATGATAATACACTGATCCCAAGCAGTTAAGTGATTGCTTTGGTAGCAGCAGTTTTTATAAGGTGTTAAGGGCTGTATTCATCTTTCCTGGTCCCAGAATTCATCTCTCCTTTGAAAACTTCGGCTTTTGTGGTTGATTTCTCTTAGCTTTTACTTTCTTGTTCTTCATCCTCTCTATATTGCTCTCATCACATCCCCTCTAATTTTATGATGCAGTCCAGAAATTTCTCACAACATGTCTTCAGTGTATTTAGCTTTATCTCCTATTTCATTTATAAGTTTTAACATAGGTTGTTGTTTGACATGCAGTTGCTGCTCCTGGTTGGCCTCAATATGTACACTTCGTATTTTCACACTTAGTTTCCTGAAGCAGTTTCAGTATAGAATTCTCCATATTCTGCTCTTGATGAAGTCATAAACTGAACTATGCTATGTACTTGGTAGCCACTGAGCCTATGTGGCTACTTAAATTTAAATTCATTAAAATCCAAGGAAATTTTAAAAGATTCCTGCCCCCACCGTATTTCAAGTGTTGAGTGCCACAGAGGGAGCACATTTCTGTCATGGCAGAAAGTTTAACTGGACAGAGCTGCCCTAGATTGCCTCTGGGTTTGAGCTGGGTCTGCTGGCTGCTGGCAGGTGTTTCCTATGAGCTTTTCCTTTAGCCTGTGTTTGCGACAAAGACCCATCTGGAGGTGAGCAAGGTATGCTTGGTTTAGGAACAAAGCAGGAGGTTCGCTGTGGCTGGGGCCTCTTCCTCTCCACTCCCATCACCATCACCTCATTCCTTCTCCCATGCTTTCCAAGTAATTTACCTCCCTTCCCTTTTCCTCCCCTGTTCCTAAAGAATCCATGTGTCTTCCTGAAATGCCTCTTGCCCCTTTCCTTTGATAACACCACCAGTGCCTACTATGGGTCTAGACAGACCTCTGCAGAGCAGTCAGAGTCTTCCCTGGCTCCACATACCCCTTCCCTTAGCAGACTTTCCTTTGCAATCCCTTCCTCCCCACCTCCTAGCTTGTGCCCACCTCCTCTCTTCACCCATCCATTCATAGCCATTCTTCACAGCCGGCTCCTGTCCCCTACCAAGAGGCTGTGGCTTTTGTGATCCTGCATGAGATAAGATGAACACTGCTGAAGAATCTAGTGCTCACTGTACTTTTAAAAAGGTATTTGTTCTGACTATAAAATTCATCTGTTACAGAAAAATCAGAAATCAGGATGGTAGTAAATAGTGAGAAAAATGAGTCTTCTGTCCCAAGATAAGTCACCTGATGTCTTGTCTTTGGGAGGGTATAATCTTTTTACATTGCTGCTATCATACTATGTTCTTTATCATGCAATTTATGCTCTTTTCCACTAAGTATTACAGATGATTATTACAGAATTTTCCAGAGATACTTTATTTTGCTGATAATATATTTTATTGTGTAGATTTACTGTAATTTATTTAACCTCCTTTGAGTTGTTGGAAATTTAGGTTATTTCCAAATTTTCCGTTTTATAAATAATGTGATGATAAACTTTTTTTTTTGATGATAAACTTTTTGAATAGAACATTTCTATATATTTTGAATTATTCCCTAAGGACAGTCTCTCAGTGCCAAGTTGTCTATAATGTCTCCATTTTCTCCCTACCTTAGGGTACCAAAGTTAAAAAATAAAGCAACAAGCTTTTTTTTTTTTACAAATAAAAACCATTAAAAACTGCCCCTACAATAATAGATGAAAATGGTATCCTGTTTTAACTTCTAACTTTGCTTATTAATGGCTTTGATCATTGTTCTTCTGTAATATTTTTGGGCATTTGCATATCTAGTTGTGTGAATTTGCCTTTATATTTCAAGTTATAGGCCTCAGTTTACAAAGTAATCAGTGATGAATTAATTGATCTAGTGTGGTACATTTTCCTGTGAAACATGGAGACACTGCCTCATCTGAAGTTTAAATAAATATTCATTTTCATGTGAATGTTTCTGTGGTTTGGTTTTATATTTACTCTGCCTCTCCACCCATTATAAGAGTAATGTATGCTCATTGTACGAAACTTAGAAAATGTGAAAACTGATGAAGATGGAAAGAAGTCCACCCTTTGGAATAGAACTGCTGTTGATATTCACATATTTCTTCTCACTCTTTTCCTCCCCAGAACATGTGTTATGTAGATATGGACATTTATCTTCATATAGCTGAAATCTATCACATATAATCTCTATCTTGCTTTTTTGATCTGACATAATGGTAGTATGCTTTTCATGCCAGTGACAGTTACTGGTTAAGAGTTGTAATGATTGCACCACTCTTCCAACATTAATCTCTCTCTCTCTTGACTGAAATTCTCAAAATTTAGTGCACATTTAAAAAATTGTTGTAAAATACACAACATAAAATTTACCATCTTAACCATTTTTTCTTTTTAAATTTTCTTTTGTTTTTTTCTTTTGATCATGAAAACAAAACATATGCCCCAGGAGAACAGTACATGATTACCAGAAACATCAGAGTACTTTCTACCATCTTTATTCTGCAGTGTTGAGGCCAGCATTGCAATAAACAAGCTAAAACTACTTACATTGGACTCATTTTCTGGAACTGACATTTATAGGAATATAGAGAAACGGCACTAAAAAATGTTAAGAAAAATTATGGTAAACTCATATGCACATCATACAGAAAAGTAACATTTTTAAATAGAAAAAAGAAAAACCTGGAAGTGTTATGCCAGTATTAGGGGACAGAGAGAAAACTTGATGTGAAGATTCTTGACATGGACATTTTTTTCTTCCCAAATGACTGTAAAAGGTGTGACAGCTGCAAAGGAACACAACCAAACAAACATGAAAACGTGTCTTACAGTTGTTAGCAAGCTGACGCTGCCCTGCAGGAAGGGGGTTCTGGGTCTCCCCAACACCCACAGCCTGTACTCGGCCCGGGTCCCAGGTCTGTCCTGCCCTGTGGTGACCGGTGACCACCAAGCCTGCCACTGCCCCTGCCCAGGGAGCCTCCGACTGGAAGGTCTGACTCCCCCCGTAGTGCTCCTGGCCAGGAGAGGCAGTCACCGTGGCCGACTGACGACCTTGATGTCAGGAACCCACTGACATCCCAGAACAGTTTTGAAATCTGGCAAGAAAGCCTTTCAAAAGTTCCAGCACCAAGGAACTACAGCTGCTCAGGAGGACCACAGTCCTCGGACTCTCCTTCCTCAGAGGGCCAGCTGCCTCCTGCGGCTGGTTGGCGTGCTGGCCTGGGCTGCCCGAGGTGTCCAAGCCATTCTGTCGTGTTCATTTCTTTTTTTCTTTTTAAATTTGGTATAGTTGGCTGATAAGATCATATCTATTTAAGGTGTACAATGTCTTGTTTTGAGGTGCACATGCATTGTGAGGTGATTCCTACAATCAAGACAATTATCCATCACTTCGTGGATTTACAGCAATTCTTAATTTCCTTCACATAGTAACATAATAGAACAAGTTAAAAGTCCTCTTCAAGAGAAAAATGTGCTCAGTGTCTCACTTCCAGGGACAGGTTAACACAGTTCAGCGAATATCATTCTAGATAATTTTGGGATATCTCTGTGCATTAGTACATTTTTGAAAATAAATTGACCGTGTCATATGCATTGTTTTGTCACCTGCTATTTCACTTTAATGGAGTGTAGTGGACACCATTTCCACTTCAGTAAATTCATGTCAACATCATGATCTCTTAAACTATTTTTCCATCCCCTTATTATCACCCCTCCTCCATTTCCTTCCTCTTGTCTAATAACAGTCTCCCTTTTACTTTCATATCATCTTTCTTAGATTCCATGTATTAGAGAAAACTTGTGTTTCTGACTCTGGCTGGCTTATTTTGCTTAACATAATGATCTCCACTTCTATCCCCGATTCTTTTAAATGATGGTTCCTTTTCCTTTCTTTTTACCTTTTCTCCTCCCCTCCCTCTTCTCCCCTCCCTTCCCCTCCCCTCTCTTCTTTTTTATTTCCTCCCACCTTTTGCTGATCACAAGTAAAGCTACTATAAACATGGATTACAAACATCTGTCCAAGTCCCCGTTCTTAATTCTTTTGTGTGTATACTTAGCCCACATTAATGTCTAAGCATTTGAGATGTCAGGAGATGAGCAAGGTGACTGGAGCAGCCTCGCCTTGGCTACAGAGGGAAAGATTTCTCTGGACAATGGCAAGGGCTGGTTCTTTTCCCCTTGGCCCAAACTTTCGGCTCCCTGGCAGGTTCCCAAGCCAGGGAAGGGCTTCGTATATAAATTCTCTAATGGGTGCTCAATTCCTTCTCCTTCCCTGAGTCCACCTTTCAGGTTATAACCCTGCAGAAGAGTCTTGAATTCTGGCCTGGGATCTGAGATAAAACTAGAACCTAGCTTCTCCTTTTAGTCTCCCAGCCTTATGTGTAGGCCTTTGTGGTTGAACCTGCTAGCACTCTTCACTGCACTGAGTCTGCTTGGTTCTCTGAGGCAGGTTCTCTCCTGCATGTGAGAACTCAAAGCAGAGTGTCATTAGTACCCTTGGATCACCTGTTAGCACTACAGTAAAAGCCCTCGCTGCTCTCGGGTCTCGCCTTTGCATGTGCTACTGACAGCTCCAGCAGGATCCCTGTCCATTATTCATGGAGTGCAGCAGATTCCACTTTCCAGTGTATGAAAAAAGTACACACAGTCTGGTGTGGTGGGGAGCCCACCCTCAAGAGTTTGCTTTGGGGTCAGTTACCCAGCTGTCACTTCATGTCTTGCCTGAGATCACTGTCATGTATTATGGAATGAAAGGCTGCTCTTTCTCAATTCTGGATTGTAGGTGATGATTCTACTTTTCATAGGGGAGGAGTCCTGGCTGAGAGCAAACAGGTTTGGTTTTGGATAAGGCATTGGGAGACAAACCTGCAGGGACCTGGCACAAGGTGAGGCAGCAGAACCCAGGCAGAAGGAAAACCACACTAAGGGACAAAGGGACAAAGGTCCAGTAGAGTATGCATCACATGCCAGGAAGTGAGAGTTGGATGTGACCAGAGAAGCAAAAGCTGGGAGTTTACTAGCTTTTGATTTTCCCTCTGTAACAGTCAGGGACCATGATTAATGTGGGTAAAAGGGTTTGCAGCAGTTCTGAAGCTGGCATTTACAAAACCCTTGCCATAATTTATTGTTGTTTTGGGTGTGCTTCCAAAAGAAGCTTTTGCAGGTTATTTATATTCAAAGCCCATTATTTACTTAACAGGTTTTATGAATTCCCCTCTTCCACACTATAGAAAGCCATACCCTTGTATTAGTGTTAAGTGTAGCATGAGGTATTGTATGAATCAACCATATTAAATTTGCCATTATTGTGTGTGCAGTTTTTGCTGCTGTTTTCGGACTGTGTATTATTTCCTTAAAATAAATGAAGGCATTCAACAAATCTTGATACCACCATACAGGTTTACCTCCTTCACGTTTGTTCCTCCCTGTGTTAGATCAGAGAAGCTGTGGTGTGGGTTTTGCCTTGGGATTGAATTCCTGGTGGTGATTCATGAGCTGTTCTTGAGTGGAGAAGGGCCTTTCTTAGCAGTGACATGTGTCTTCTTTTGCCCTACAGTTACAGTGGAGAGACTGTCCAGAAGAGAAATAGGCTCATCAGTTAGGCTTCATTTAAGGAAACCTGTTACACAACAGCGACCAGGTAAAGGAAGGAAGTGGGTGGGTTCTTGGGCTCCCATCTGGAAAGGTGCCCACTTAGTGTATTGACTTAGTGCCTGGATGAACCTTGAGTCATCTTTTTCTACCCATCTTTATCAATGGCTTTGACTGAAGATGTTTAAGTCAGTGCTTATTATATTTGTACAGAGCAAGTGAGGTCATTGGAAGACATAAATTTCCAAACAGGCTAGGAGGATTGGGTGAATCTCAGCAAGTAAAGTAAGTTTAATGTGTATATTTGTTGGCTTGTTTATGGAGACCAGGTAATATTTGTGCATGGTGCAAAGTTTAAGACACAGATGTATGCAGCAAAGAGTCGTTTTCCCTTCTGTTCCATTCCTCAGCCTCCCTGCCATCCTCAGAGGCAAGCAAGCTTACCAGTTTCCTGTGAGCTGTTGAAGCTTGAAGAGGATAAATAAGAGGTGGGGCCTGTTAGGGAGGGATGACCCAAGGAAGCAGTGTCACACATGAACGCCTTCTTCATTTTGCTCAACAGCAATATGGGGCAGCTGCCAGGAAGTGAAAGCAATCTTGGGCTAAATCAATGGTATCTGGCAGGAGGGAAGTGGTAAGCTACTCTATTTATGCTTGACTGTCAACACCTAAATTGTATTTAGTGGAGCACATTGAATTGTTGGGGAAATGTGGACAGGCAGGAGCATTTTCAGAGGACTTCCCTAAAATGGGTATGACCCCTTTTATGTGAGGAACAGCTAACAGAGGAGTAGTTAGACTTGGGAGAGAGAAAATTTGGGAGTGGGAAGAGGTGGGAGCTAGAGTACTGAGCATGGCACAGTCTTGAAATTACTGACGAAGCATTCTGGCAAGAGATTGCACTTACTTCCTATAGTTGCAAGGAAAACCTAGCATCAGATACTGGATGGATGCTCGGTGGCCAAAATTTCTAACTTAGCAGTTCACAGTTGGGGTTGGAAGGGCTTTCTGCTAGGTATGGCGAGTGCTCTGTCACCTGAGATATATAAGCATCACCTAGGCCAGTGGTTTTCAATTGGGATAGTTTTGCTCTTGGGGACTTTCGTCAATGTCCAGAGTCATCTTTGGCTCCCAACTGAGGAGGGATTGCTACCGACCTCTCATGAGTATAGGCCAGGAAGCATACACAGGCCAGTCCCCCACAACAAAAAGCTATCTGGCCCCCAAAGTACTAGAGCCAACATGAAGAAACCCTAACATGGGCCATCATTTGACAGAAGATTAACTACTAAAACTCATTCTGTCCCCGAGACTTTTATGGCTGGGGAATTATTAATGTAATTAAAGTAATGTGTTGACTATATAAGGTAAGTGGTCCTTTGCATATAGCCTTGAAAATATATTTAAAGATAATAAGGTGCTTTCAGATAAAAACCAAAGACTTCAGGCATTTTTTCTATAATAGAAGTTGATCAGATTTCTCTTTCTTCTTGTCCATAGAGACTCTGCCATCCAGAGTCCCTTGCCTATAGAAGAGGAATGATTCCAGGTGATTTGTTTAAAAACATTATATTCCTTTCTTATTGAAAAAGTATTACATAGTTGTCAGAGAAGAATTGAAAAATATACAGAGGCAAAGAAAATATCTAACATTAGTGTTTATTTGACAAATCCCTTCCTCTGTATGATATATTAAAAAATTGGCTCATATTATACCTCCCATTGGTTTTCTACATCCTATTTTACAACCTGCTTTTCATACTTCAGGCTTTCTTAGAGCTTCTCCAACTCCAACTTTCTCTGCCGTGCTAATTGAGAGAATTTCTATGTGGGCCTTTTCTCGGCGGAAACAACTAGAAACCTGAGTTTCCTTCCTTTCCCATGACATTTAATACATGTAGGTATTTCTACAAAAGTTATTACGAATTATGCTGCTTTTGCTGGCCATAGGCCTCACTATTCTGTTTGCTCTCAATGGGCCTGGATGACCCAGAAGACTCTAGGATCCAGACTTCTACTACCAGGCCATGTGGACTTCGAGTGTATGTATCCAGATCTCTGCCCCCACCTAGTAGCATTCTGTGCTGCCATCTCCTGTCAGTGGGATGTGCAACCACTTACTAACTAGTCTCTGACTCTTGCTGCACTCCCATCCAGTTTGTCCATTTCTCAAGAGGATCTTGGCAAAATGTCACTCTATGTCACTGTCCACTGCTTGCATTTCCCTGCAGCTCTCAAATGTTTCAGTCTTTCCATTACTAGGAGAAAGCAGAAAATTCTTTCACTTGGCCTTCGTGCAGACCCTTCACAGTTTGGCCTGACCTGCCACACCTTGTCATCCTAACTCTTACCCTATTGTGGAGGTGTGCTTAAATCTCCCCAAGGTCAACCTTCTGTGAAACCTGTGACTAGGTCACATTTTAGCTTGCATTGTACACCTACTGATCCTTCTTAGCTCTTAGCTCAGTTGTACTTTTACATTCATTTGTCTAATGACTTCATTTGTATGTTTCTCTCCTCAGCTCCATGGGGGTAGAGAGTTTCTGTTTTTGTGCCAGTGTCTTCCAGTATCTAGCACATAGTAATACTACAGCAAATATCTGTTAATTGAATGAATACAGTCTTCATGATGCTGCATTTTTTTCTCCAATGTCCTTAAATTCCTATTGCTGTCCCTTTAGCTTGTTTCCAATGTTCTTTGTGTGCGTGCGTGTGCGTGCGTGCGTGTGTGTGTGTGTGTGTGTGTGTGTGTGTGGTACTGGAGATTAAACTAAGGGCTTTTCCTCTGAGCTACATCCCCATCCTTTTTTATTTTTTATTTTGAGACAGGGACTTGCTAAGCTGCTACATTGCCCAGTCTGGGCTTGAACTTGCAATCCTCTTGTCTCAGGCTCTTAGAATTCTGGGATTGCAGGCATTCATTCACAAGCACATCTGGCTTCCAGTGTCATTTGTATTATAAACTACGATGCAGGAACATTACTGTGGATTCATCTTTGTGCAACTTTGTGTTAACATATCTCTAAAGGTTAAAATAGTAGGAATGGAACCTGCAGGCCAGAGGCCTAGATAGAGGACATTTGTCATGACTTTGGCCACCAGCATCGTAAATGTCTTCCTCTACTTAGGAAATTCCCTACTCTATTATTTTGGACAGGAGGCAAAACCCACTTTGTACAAGCACAAAATGCCAGATGCTCATTTCCCTCTGCTTCCCTGTGGTTAGAGAGTGGGCAGGTGACTTGTGACCTACCTTCTCCCGCAGGCTGCAGTGGGAAGCACTGGCAATATGGCACAGCATCCAGCAGTGGCAATGGGCTGTGTTCTTGCCAGACTATTTTTATGGTATGATTTTAGGCTGTGGTCATGGCAGCTGCCTGGTCACCCTCTCCCTACTCATTACTGAGGTCTGAGACTGGCCTTCCCTGGTTTTCTGTGAGCTCTTCACTAGCCTTTGCCAAAATAGACAGAGGAAAACCCCACCACCAACAGCACCCTTTATCTTTAAATTAACTAGAGCCAGTTAAGCCACTGGGGCTTCCAACTAATGCAGCATATACAATTCTATCCGGAAGTTAATGCCAAATTATCTGCCAAGGAGGTGGCACCAATTCACCCTCCCATCAGGAGGGTGTAGAACATCCAGGTGTTTGTCTTTCCTCTAGTACCACTCACATTGTTGTGCAGCAATCTAGTTCTAAGATAGGAGGCATTTCTTAACAATTTCTCTACACTAAGTGTTTAACCCAGCTCCTGGCACCTTTTAAACACTGATAATGTTTACAAATTGAATGAAGATAAAGCGTTGTCTTTAAAGAGTTTGAGGAAGACCAAAGGCAGCACAACCAGAGCCAGGGACTGAAGGTTGGGAGGAGGCCCACCCTGCTCCTGGGCCAAAGACCAGAAGAGGTAAGCAACTCCCTCAAGGATTCATAGCTACCCAGGTTAAAGCAATCCTCAGACCCAAGCCCACCAAGTCCGTTGGAAGTCCACCTCTGAGTCCAGACCTCAGTGGGGGAGTCTGTACAAACTGCTGCTCCCACAATATTGCACAAGTACCCAAGGGGTAGATTTCAATTGAAATGATGCATGCGGGAATCAACTGAAAGCTAGGAGCTGCCAGAAAATCAACTTGGGAAGGAAGGAAGGAAGCCTGGTGACCACCCGTTTGGAAAATTGCCTTTGTATGTAACTGGAAGGCACGCACATGTAAGGATCAAGCACCTGTCTTCCTATGGCTATATTTCTCATTTCCCTTTTTCCCCCTTGTATTGCTTTCAAACCAAAAGGAAGCCATGGCAGAGAACGTCTTGCCCTGAGCTACATATATGAAAATGAAGAAGGTTATGGGAGTCGTGTTTTTAATAACAGATCGGTGGTGCTGCCTTTCATAGGAAATGAAGTGAGACTGTTGCTAGGTTGACGGTAAGAGGCACAAGGTAGGGGTGGGAGGGACCCTCACTCCGGTGGATTTACCTCCCCCACATCTCCCAACTATTCATTTACGTCCCACCAACTGGTAGAACGAGAATCAATTCTGAGTAGAACTGTCTCTCATCCCATTGAAAAGGGCTTTTATTTTTTGACATTTCCATCACCACAGCTTGATAGAGAAACATATTCACAAAGCCAAGTCCATTTAGAAGAGAACATCTGTAAAACTGGGTCAGCAGATATGTTACACTTTGGCATGGAAGAGCAAATATAATGCTGTCTGGTCTGAACAACAGGGAAGTGCTTTGTTTCCAGGGCTCACACTTGGATTTGTGCCTAGCGCCTCTGATCTCGCCACACAGCTCAGGCCCTTGTGCAACCGCAACGGAGGGGCGCCGCAGTCTTCCGCCCTTGTCTCCGACTCCTCAAACGGTGGTGGAGACAGCACGTGGTTCCGCCAAAAGTCACTAGAGGCCGCTGTGGCACCAAGAACGCAGGAAGGGCGCCCAGCTGGCCGAGAGGGTGTCTCCAAGAAGTAATGACTGTCACACAAACTGACTGCTCTAGAATTCTAGTGCAGGATTTAAAAGACACTGCTATTCATTAACGAGAATAAAATACCCTGCAGAGGAAGCTCGGGTCTCGGATCCCCTGGGGTTGTTTTCTAACTGCTTTCGAACCATTTTCCCCACTCTGGGACTAGGTCTCATGTGCAGCCCAGAGGTAAAGGTTTTAGCTAGAGAGAAACGTCCTCTAAAAATGACACAAATGCCGCCCTTAGCATCTATTTCTCAATACTTTCCCAAAACAGGATATTATGCTGTTTTCTCCATCAGCCCCCGTTGGCAGCTGGTGCCAATCAGGGGGTTTGCAGGAGCAGGATTGTCTGATGAAATGCAGGACGGATGCCTCGTTAGGTATGAACTTCAGATGAACAGCCAACACTTGCTTGATGTAAGTACCATATCCTAAATATCACATGGGTCATACTTAAACTAAACATATTCATGATCTCAAATTCAAATTTTACTGAGTGTCTTTTGTTTTTATTGGTAAAACCTGGGCTCCCAACACAGAAAAGGGTGATTCGGATGCAGCTGTGGGAGTTGCCCTGGAGGGACTCAGAGTCTCAGGGTGGCCAGAGCTGAAGCTGGGCACAAACAATCCTATTCCAAGGTGGGGGTAATAAGAGTCACATGTTCACAAGGAGAACAAATAGGGTCATAGGCCTGCCTGAGTGGCTGGGTTTTCAGAGGGAGTGAACTGCTACAGTCACTGGAAGTAATATTCCAGGTATCTCGTTTTGTTCTCTTCCTAGTACATATCTGTACAGGCACACAAGCTTCAGATGACTTTATCCTCAGCCCACACTGAAAGGTAGAGTTCAAGTTCAACCAGTGGCCATTGTATGCTGCCTCTGGGAGGCTTTGTATACACATGCTGCACCAACATAAGCCTAACACAATTGCTCCAGGTCCAAAGGTAGGCCTGATGTGCAAGCAGGACCAATAGTGGAGTTCATTTTGTGCAGCTAGGGAGGAGATGGAAGTGGTGGTTGGGATGGAATTTCACTTGATTTGTTTAGGGACCTGTCCGCCCAGAGGGCTAGTGCAGCACACTTCCATGTGTGTCTGCATGGGCATGGAGGCATGACCTTGGGGTCTATATGACTGGTCCCTTGCCTCATCTTCTGTTCCTCAATCTTCTTCCCTGTCATCATGAACTAAGAAGCTCTTCTGTGCTCATGTCCATCTACCTTGATGTTTCTGCCTTGTAGCTGCCAAATGTGGACTGAAACTGTGAGCCAAATCAAACCTCTCCTTTAAGTTGTGGGCATTGGGTGATGTGTCCTGTGATGAGAAAGATGACTAATGCAGAAGGCAGCAAGGGAGCATTGATACTGTATTTCAAGCAGTGTGATCCTGGGCCTGAATTTGTCCCCAGGTCCCCAACCTGTTAATGTTCCTCTCCTCTGACTCCTTGGAAGTTTCTGTCATCTTGTTGGAGATTTTCGTGAACCAGGGAAGACAGGCATCTTTCAAATTTCTAGTTTATGGCTTTTTGGATCAACCAGAGCAACTTAAAAGCCCCCAGTCTTAAGCCCCTCTTTGGGGTTGGTATGGCAATTCGAACCCTAGAGAAATGCTGGGGGATCTCAAAAGCAACAGCAAAGGAAGATCCGAGCTTGATTCTATTGTGCCACCTGAGTGCAGGACCTTGTGCTAGCCACTTCTCCTCTTTTAGGCCTGACTTCTCAACAGAATCGGGAACAGAAATGAACCCTCAGTGGCCAGGGCAGCATGTGGTATCAGTCTACTCCTTTTTGCACTCCATGAGTTGAGGAGAAGGATGGGTGGAATTCACCTGAACCCACCCAAAAGCAATTCGCTTGCACCTGCCAGGCTACCATTGCTGATGGTAGCCTGATGGTAACATTTAAGAGGGAAGAGGGTCTTCAGTAGGGGATGCCTCTGAAAATAGCAACTACCTTATACAAATAATCACTGTGGAAGGATCAAGGTCTGTGGCAATTATGTGAACACTTTGTTTCTTGTTTGCCTAGGCTCTGAGTTGTGTTCATTGTGAATGACAATGCAAATCCTATGCATTTATCTTTCTTCTTTCTTATAGACTAGGCTTTGAAGAGTTTCCCACCTTCAGCCTTACACACATACTTTATTAGGTCTTAGGGTAGAGGATCCTAGATTCACATAGCAGGTCAGCATATAGCCTGAGAGCCACTTCCAGAGTACTGGAGGCTTCCTGGCAGAGGGGGTAGGCTGTGGAACTAACCCTGCAGGTTATCACCTTTTCAGGCCAGGCGCCAGTCTGGACAGTAGGCCTTGCCCTTGAACACACACATGCATAGCCTAGGGGAGCATGATTTCCTCAACAGCCCTGGGCCCTTTGAGAGCATAATTTGCCTCATTCTCCAGTCCACTCTATCTAGATCTGACCCATCTTGCTCACATATGACCTGACTTCATTTACTCCATGACCCCTGCTATTTTACAAACTTGATATATGTTCTTGTTAATGTCTCTCCCATTAGGATGTCAGGTCCAGAAAGCAAGGGCCTTGTGGCATCTTATTTACCAGTTTGTTCTCAACACTTAGAATAGGGCCTGACAAGTGTTGGAAAAGTATTTGTTTTGTTACATTTTAATCACTCTTTGGGAGCTTGTGAGAGAAATCATGGAGGATGAGAATGTGCCCTGAATTTGGAGTGTGAATTCTCACTCCATCACTGACTGGCTGTGTGGCTTTAGGTGAGTGCATTAATCTCTTTCAGTCATAATCAACTTGATCATGTGTAAAAGGGCACTATAGTCCCACCTGTCTCACTGGGTGAACTATTTGGATTGTCCCAAACCCAAGCATCAGGAGGGGTGTGCTGCTGTGCATTTGACCAGTCCTTGACCTTGGATGTGCCACCTAGGGAATGGGTGGTAATGCTGACACTAGGTGTCTGGTGCCCTCATTTTTGATCCAGATGACTTTTCCTTCAGGGTTCTTGGCCTTGTTAAAGCCACCTTAGTGAGCTGTATGTGCTTTTATTGGAGAAAAGTTCAGCTGGAATGCCCTAGTTCCCAACATCTTTGTTTCCCAGCTAGACCTGTGCTGCACTTCTAATAACATGCCAGGTCTAAGGTGGGGTGAGGGGAAGAGGCCAGGCCTTGCTCAAATAGTTCATCTGTTGAAGGCTCCATGATTTCCGTCACTGTTTGCCAGTCAACCTACCACTTAAGCCATTTTCAATGGATTCCTTCTCTTGGTAGGCTGCAGCAGCACATACCAAAGGTCCACAGCAAGCACAGGGTGGAGGCTACATTTTCTAAGGCTGAAGGTAGACTTTGCCCAGAGCTCTATCTGTTTCGAGCTTCCCAGACCAATGGAGATAGCTTTGTGTCAATGGGGTCACTGTACCACCTAGTTTTACTGCTATTAACCTGCTAGGATTTGCCATTTTTGACAAATTTATCTTGCAATCCATTCCCCAAACCAGTGGCCTTCATTAGATTCTGTAACAAGAGAAATCTGTAGCATCTATGAGCAGTTTGACATGTATTTGAATGAGTTCTAGGCTCATGCGTGGGTCTCAGGAATAATAGGACCAACTTTATCACTTTCCGGTCTGTTCTCAGCCAGTTTCCCCAAAGGCCATGGGGACAAGAGACTTTGAAATAACTTACTTTGCCTAGAGGCATTCATTCATTTTTTTCAGTCCAGCAGTGCAGAGTGATGCCTATCCTTGGTCAGGCTCTGCTGAGCTCAGAGGCCTCAAAGGAGCTTGGGGGCTAGGCATCTCAGCTGTGTTTAGCTCCTGAGATTCACTTTCTGGGGGTATCACTGAATTTGAGGCTCTTGTCCCTTGTATGTTTCCTATTATTTTTTTCATGGGGGTGGTATGTTATCATATGAGGATGCAATTAGACCCAGAGGAAAAGGTCAACTTATAGCAGCTGCTATAGACATAGGGAGGGCAGAGGTTGGTAAGTGTTGGCCAAATGTTCATAGGTGAAAACAGTACTGGTCAGAAAGTAGGGCTTCTAGCCTGAGCTCTAGATCTCAATCATCTTATGAACTTATCAAGACACGTAATTGGTTTGTGCTGTGGAATCTTTGTTTATAAGGCTGTTGAGTTTCAGCAGAAACAGATCTTAAAAAATGACTTGGGTACAAGCATTTTATTTGAGAGGTTGTTTTAGGATTCTCCAGAGAAACAGAACCATGAGGCACTGTGTGTGTATCTATATAAATCATTATGATTTAGATCTAGAATGTACCTCAAAAGTCTTGTGTTCAGAGGTAGGGGCTTTTGGAAGGTGATTGGCTCATGGGTGTGCTATACTCATCAGTGGATTGATCCACTGATAATTTCTTAGCTAAATGTGCTATTAAGAGGTAGGGCCTGGTTAGAAGAGATGTGTTACTGGAGGTGTGCTTTTGGAGGCCATATCTTTCTCTCTGGCTCCTTCTCTTTCTGCTTCCCGGCTGGCATGAGATGAACATCTTTCCTCTGTCATATTGTTTCACTATACCTATTCTGTCTTGGAGCCAGCTGACCATGGCCTGCTGCCACTAGAGACAATGATACAAATTCGACCTTTCTTTAAATTGTGGGTGTCAGGTATTTTGTCCCAGGGACAGGAAATCTGTAATACAAAAATTGGTACCATGAGAAGGGTCATGGTTGTGACTACACCTAACTATATTGTTTAGAAGCCTTTGGAACTGGTTTGTGGGAGGATTTGGGAGCAAAATCAGATTTGGACAAGAGATGCCCTAGAATGCTGTAAATACAGTTTGATGGCTGATTCTAGGTGGAGCTCAGAAAACTAGAATGATGATAGGAACACGGACATTAAAGGCTAGCCTCATGAGGTTTCAGATGGGTACAAGGACTACATTGATAGTTGGACTAGAGTGAATGTATGTTATATTCTGGTAGAAAATTTGGATACATTTTCCCATGTCCTGAGACTTTGCTGGAGATTGAGATTAAGGGCTGTAGACTAAGTAATCTAGTTGAGGAAATTACAAGATAGCCCAACATTCAGAGTATGGCAGGGGTATTGTTGGCTGCTTTTAGCCATATTTATAGTAAGAATCTGGGGTAAAAGACAGAGTAGAAAAATTTGAAAAGATTAAATTTTGGTTCAAAAGGAACTATGTGTAAAGTTGAGGCAAAGATAGGTGTGGCTGCTGAAGAGATTAACACTGATAAAAAGAAGTTCTTTGCATCAGACCAATAAGAAAGATTCCTTGAAAGGATCTCCAGAACCAGCCAGACTCTACCCATCATAGGCTCAAACTCCTTTAAAAGACTATGGCTTGAGATGAGAGCCCCATAGTCCTTGATTATTCAGGGCCACATAGGGAACTATTTTCCTGAGTTCAGACATTCAGACACCGAGAGGCTACTGTAGGCATGGTCCAAGGGGGCCAGGCAA